ATGCTAGTTTTGTAGTTGACACCCCAGAAACTTAGGCCTTGTTTGGCAAGCAAGTTTTTTGTCAAGTTTATTTGCTACAAGTTTTTTAACAACTTTAACTACAGTAACTTTAAAAAACTTCTCAAAGTTTTTAAACTATACACTTCAAAATATCTAAAAATTTACACACTTCAAAAAATTTTTCTACGACTTCTACAGTAAACTACAGTAAAATTTTAGACAAACACCCAAAAAACTCACTTACCGCCTTAATACTCCTATCATTATTATTATTATTGTTACCAAATGATGCATGCTGGACAACATCAAACACTTTGGATCCCAAATAACGGATCAAAGAAAAGCTGCTAAAAGAGTTGTTTTCTTTTTTTCTTGTTACATGTTGTCTATATATAGATAGCACTTCAAAGAATTCAAGAAGCAAATCTTTTAATTTATAATACTTTTCTTTTCTTGTCTTGTTTTCTTTTTAATTAGGTCGGTTTAATTTTCGGCTTTTCGGGGTTTGTGGTTTGGTGGCGATGGAAAACAAGATGACAACAGCGTGTCACGCCCCCACCAAATTTTCTCACCTCAGGCTGCGCGGTGGGCGGACGCAGTCAACCGCAAAAACTGTGTCGTTTACTCCTAAAGGTCCCACTTCTTCCACCTTTTTATCTAGTAACACTTTCTTCTTCACTAATTGCCCATCCCACAATATATTGTAAAAAAAAAAAAAAAGTAATTTAGGAGTATTTGTCAGCCCAACACCTGCTTCTGATATTACAAGACACGTGTAAAAGAATAGTCCGCCAAATAAAAAAAAAAAGCCAATTTAATGTGACATAAAAAGTACAAGTCGCACTTCAAAGTGGGATAACCCAATGTCAGAAAAGTAGACTAGTGATTCCATGACCATAATAATAATCCCTAATTGTTTTAATTACCTGCGATTCCTACAAATTTGTCGAAAGGTTCTGATTAATGCGGCGCTCTACCCCTACCAAAGCATGATTCCATGATGGCCTTCATCTTACTTAGTTCGTGTAATTAATTTGCTAATTGCTATTCTTCAATGTGACCCACGTCTTTTTCTTTTTTCTAGAATGAATACTACTGTTACGTGTGAGCCACACCATACATAAATGAGGAGACCTTTTCCGGATCTAATTTTACATACATGTGTACGCTAATAGAGGCATGAATACATGCAGCTTAATTTTTATTTGAATTTCAATTTCAATTTTTATACATGCGTCATGCAGCTCTATCCATTAATATATACGTAATCAGTGTATACAAGATTAATTCTAATTTAATCAGTTATTGTAGAATTAAAGTACAAATGTTAGTGCACCGGTCTTTGTTTCTTTTGGACTCCCGAAGACGATGAGATGACAACGATAAAATTGCTCCAACTTTAGAATCTATGGCACGAGAAGAAAAGTATATTATCGAAATTATGTGTTACCACATTATATTACCCTATTTCAACACTTGGATGCAATACTATAGGTGACATTGGATTGACATATAAAAACATGTCACCGAAGATTTCAAGTGCTATTTCAATTAATGGGTGTAATTCTGGGTGCCTTGTCCATATTTCAACGGCCAAGACAAATTAGACGTTTCCCTACAGCCAATAGTCATGTGCATCTCCGTGGTAGTTGTTCTGATAACTGTGTCTAAAATGGCTTCAAGAGGTTATCCTTGAATGAACTAGAAAAATATTAGAAACATACAACAAAAAGAAATTTTTTTTTAATCGAAGTGGACCTATTAATTATATCTCCCTACAAATTATACGAACTCGCTGTATCCATCATGTATCCTACAGTTGACATCTACTCTTGCTTTTGGACTTATGGATCAGTCCACCCTCTAAAAATCAGTGCCCCACATCCCTGGCATACCTATATTTTCAGCAAAGACAATTCGATTAGAAATGACGGGATCACGCTTTGCTTTCAATCATCATTTTGTTTGATTTCTTCTGTGTGGAGGGAAGAACCGGTGCCAAGTACTGTCTTTGTTTGTCAATGAAGCAGATATTTCTTGTCTTCATGCTTTCTCTAAAAGAATGCAAGTTAGTGTATCATGCATGTTCGTTTGCATTATACATTGAGATGACATGAATGTGTGAAGTACTCTCTCCAAACACATGTTGTCATTTTTATGATTGATTTCCTTTTTCTTCTTTCCTTTCCTCTTTCGACGTTCTTTGATGTCATTAGGTTCACATCTGCTTGAGATGAGGATTTGGCACCAAAAACCAGTGTTTTGAAAATTGGACCGAATCGATCGGTTCGATCGGTTGAACCGTGAATCGGTCATGCCTCTCTTCCGGTTCAATTACAAAGTCAAAGAGTTAATTGAACCGATTAAAATCGGTCAAGAACAGGTTGAACCCGTAAAAACCGGTAAAAGCTTTTTATTAAGTATTTATTTTCTAAAATAAATATTTTAGTTTTATTCAAAATTTTTAATACTAGAATGAATAAAAAATTATTAAACCTTTGAACTAGAATTGAACCGATCGAACCGCAAACTAGAAGGTTTTCCGATTCACTCTCTGGTCCTGGTTTAAAAACATTGCCAAAAACATGTTCCCAAATTTAACAGTTGTGATCTGCTTCTAAACAAAATCAGTAAATTAAGCCAGAAACTTGACAGTTAGCATATGAAGTGAAGTACTCCAATTACAATCCACCATTCACAAAGAAACTACTATACACCGTTGAGACTGGAGAATGCTGGCATAACTACAATTCTGTAGGCCCTAAATCCAACTTTTATGATATTGCCTGTAGTTATAGCTATTGGTTTAAGGTACTAAAAATCTCAGCTAATCTCATAAAATTAATGCAGTTATATCTAGCTATTGAACTAGTAACAAAGATACTATGATGACAGGGACGCTTTTGCCTTTGGATAAAGCTAGGTCATCAGTAGTCTCAAGATGTATGTAGTCCAGAAATCTAAAAGTGGGAACGGGGTTAGGTTTGTCTGTAAGCATCGGCCATGGGTAACAGCTTTACAATCATGCTGTCACAGGTTATCTATAACATTTTTGCCATCGTAATTCTTGGGGAGGGGGGGGGGGCTTCTTTTAAGTTTTAACACCTTTTTAAAAGTTTAAAAGAATGAAATCACGGCTATTTTATTGTTGCATTCCACCAACTACAAGAACTTTTTACCAATTTCCAAGCAGAGTTAACAAATCCAAGCACTTGCTGCACAAATGTTTTGTCTCTTTTACACCATCCTGGATTAGATAACTTATGTCTCTCCATTGAAGACCATGCACAAAGTACAAATGGTTCAGCAAAAAAGGGAAATCCCGTTGCCAGTTGCATAAAATAATGGCAGCTGATCTTTGCTATATTCAATCAAGAACCTAATCATCGATAATTTAAATATCTAACAACTTTATCCTTGTCTAATGTAAATCGTGGTTTTGGTTCATCGCATGCGTAGAGTAGTCTCCTTTTCCAGCCCATGTTTTTGTAGCTCCCATATGTGTGCTCAACAATCCAATTCTTTTGGACTAAGGTAACGGATGGGATTGAGTCTTTTTTTTTTTTTTTCCCATCTATGACCATGAGTATGTGTGAGCATTTTCCAAACATAATAATGATTCCACCTTGATATAAGTTTTCTTGGTATTGATTTGTGTTGCGTTGGCTTTGGCCAACTTGCATGAGTTGACATTCTAATCTCCATACCACTGAAAGTGCCAAGTCTTTTTTATCCAGAATATTGGTGTCTCATGGCTTTTAGGATGGTTTGGTGGCTTGTAGGTTGGTTATGCTGAGCCTAAGTTGATATCCCGTAGCTATGTAATGAGTTGTTTTTTGATGGACGGTCGAGAAGTGCTTCTCATGTGGTTTGTACAGAATTATTGAGGAAAAAGTAAAAGGTGTATGTCAACTTCTCATGCTAATATCCAACTTTATACCGTGTCGTTTTTCAGCCATTATTACACCCTAGAGTAAACGAACAATGGAGGGTTTTTAGCCTTTCGACGTTTTCTCAAACTTATCTCTGCCATCTTTGAGAAAATGACAATTTCCCAGGAGGTCTATACTGTGGAACGACAGTGATTCGATCCAAAACTATATTCCATACATAAATCATAAGGCTATTATATATTAGGGACCTACTTGAACAATGCCAACAAGGATCTTGATGAATTCACGAGATAAAAATTTCTCACAACTCAAGATTATAGGGGACAATATATATATATATATACATATATATATATATATATATAAGGAACTAAAAAACATATTTCGTAATGCATTAAGTGTTACATCTTCCTTGGTTTGAGCATTTCAAATCCATAATGGCGTGTCTAAAAGTTGTTGAACCAGTTTTATTCATGTGCGTGAGTTAAAAGAGTGATTAACGAAGTGCCAGAACTAAACATTAACACACAAGTGGTGGAAACCACGTCTCGAACACATATGAGCCATTTTATATTCCTGCAAAAAAAAAAAGAGACCAGACGGTGGGATAGTGAGATTGCCAGGTTCTTAGTGAAGGAAGGGCGGAAGAGGGCTATTTATTATATACTAAAAAAGACGAGGAAAAGAGGAGGAAAAGGGCGGAGAACAGAGAGAATGTAGAAGATGTCAAATATGAAGGCTAGCCGTGGACTCAAGTGGTCCAGGAAAACTATCGGGGGTTATCATCATATCAGGGGAAATCACAAGACGTTGACTAAAATTGACTTGAAAATCAATGAGGAAAACCCAAAAAAAAAAAAAAAGAAGAAGAATTTGAAAACCCTAATGTGATCCATAAAATTTATGGGCCGGCCTCGTTTTGCAAATCTTTAGCCCACTGAGCGCCATCTTGCATTAACAGTAACTTGGGCTTACCTAAGCGTCAGAACATTTACCAGAACCGAGACGCAATGTTGATACAAAGCCTAAACCCAGTACAACTTCACTAAAACATTCAAAATTGTGAGGGATGTCTGAGACTTTGAGTTAACTATATATTCTCTGCTTTTAATTCTGCATGATCACTTGCTGCTGCTGTGCAACCACGTCAATACGAACTTCAGGTGGTACAAGAGCAGGCTGCTCTGCAAAGTTAAGGTTAGGGTCCCTGTAGAACAAAACAATTTGACAGCTGCCGTAAAAAATTTTAAAGGTAGGAACAAGAGCCATCCATAGATAGTAAAGTTACAGGAGATGCTGCTTCTGTAATCAGTACCCAGCAAGTTTCCGAAGAAGATAGAGAAACGGCTTCTTGTAGTTGTGGTTGCTCTTCGCCGAAATTTCATAGTACTGAATATTCTTCTTTCTATGGAATGTGACCTGCTTTGCTTTTACCTGCCTATTCCTGACATCCACTTTATTCCCACACAAAACAGTTGGTATATTTTCGCACACCCTGTAATTGACAGGAGAATGTTGGCCAAAAAATAAAGGACTGCAGAAATAAGTTGAAGTGTATGGTAATATGAAACATGATGGTTCACCTGCAGAGATCACGATGCCATGTTGCCACATTCTTGAAGGTCAAACGTGCTGTAACATCAAACATCATGATTGCACGCTGCCCATGAATGCTGCAAAGTTGCGTTACAAAGGGTTAAATAAATGCTTGGCATACTTCAGGGTAAAGTAATACTGATTCAAGCTTGCGACCAACAAAGCCCTTGTTATAGGCTAACTGTGGCTTGACTGCTTGAGTTGTCGTCCCTCTTGCCTCCTCCTCTTAGCTACTAAAAGCACTGAGCTGAGCTATTCGGTGTGTATCAAGTTAACATCACTTAAGCCAGACTACATCCTTGGAAAAGCTGGTCAAAAGAGAGGATGATAATGAAAATCAAGATCAGGTGCAACTGAAAGACAAATCCTGGACTTGGGGGAGGGCCAATAAGAGAGGGAGCAGGGTGAGGTCAAGATCCTGGCAGGAAAAAGTTCTGGAGTCAAGTCGACAAATAAATTACTGCAACTTGTGAATTAGTTGGCACAGCAGCAGGGGAAGAAGGACGCATTGATAATTCAGAACTTTGAACTTCCAGGAGTTCAAATAATTGCTATGGTAAAGTCACTTGTCACTGACAGCAAATTATGCATTTTTCAAATGTTCAAGATATGGCTAACCAGAGGAGAAAGGACAACTTTACAAAGAAAAGTTGATGATTTGAAGAATCTGGCCCTAGGAACAATAACCTGATGAAGCATATTATCATCATAAACGAAGATGGACATTACAAACTTTACATTTCATATGTTCTACAGACATGATAAACCAAAACTTTGATGTCCTAGAAAATAAGGCGTGCTTCACAAGAAAAAATTTCATCAGTAAACTTTCTTTATTTGAAAGAATCAAGAGAAAAGATAATGCCAGATTATCACAAAGCATGTCAAAGTATTCTTGAAAAACAACCAAGTGATTCTTTTTTCTTTGGCTGTCTTCTTCCTTCCTTGAAAATCCATCTCAACTAAGTACTCAGTTGACCAAATTTAATTCTTTAAGGATTAGGTAACTAAAATTCAGCTAATGCGAGAGAATTGCACCAAATCTTCCCTCACATATTGTTGATATGAAAATTTAGTCCCTCAAAATGAAAATGATCAGTTTTAATCTCTAACAAACAAAAAATGATTCCCTTTGATCCCTTTACACTTTTCCAAGCGAATTTTAGCCAAAACTTACTGTGCTCACATGACGTGTCCAATTTTTAATGAGTAAAAATGACAAATCAACTTGATCAGAAATTTGGGGGACTAATGGTGCAAACCTTTTGTTAAATATTCATCTAAATACAAAGAATATTCCACTATTACCTTCAAATCTCCAATTCGTCTCAACCCAAAATGAACCCTAATTGCAAACTCCTCTTAGTTGATTGTAATTCATTCGAAGGAAATTGGTGATTGAAGACAAGAAAATAACAAGCAAATTTACTATAAAAGATAAATGTTAAAAAAAAAAAAAAAAAAGGTAATCCATAGATGGTACGGGAAGCAGGCAAGCATAGTAAAGCATATTCCTTGGAGTTTGGAGACATCGGAAGTTTCTAATTGTCTAATTTTCTTCCTACAAGCCTAACACAGTAACCTGCCAGAAGCTTCTTGAACCATACTCTGCCCTATTTTCTGATTTCCCCTAATCTTCTTCTTAAGCTCTTCGCTCATGTTATCCTTCTTCTTTTTTCCATATTTCGCATCCTAACACTAATCACATACAATTTCTAGCCAGTTGGACATTTCGTTCAGGCATTTTACGAACACTTGCAACGATGGGGCGACGATGGTGCTGTCACGGTCTATAGCGGTGGTGCAATTACTGAAGCCAAGAAGAACCCATTCTCCATTAAAGTCAGGATGGCCGGCCCTAATGCTGGAAAATGGAGAAATTGTGGAAATTGCATCCGTCGATCAAGCCAAGGTGGTCGAGTCATTCTGCACTTGTTGCATCATTGTCTCAGAACCCAATATATCTAGCATTTCAATCAGCAATTTCCTTCAGATGAATTTTTAGGTTGTTTTGGGTTAGATGAATTGTTAGTAATGGTGGGTTAGTTATGTGTTTTTTGATGAATGTTTAACTAAAGTTTTGCACTGTTAGTCCTCTCACATTTCTAGTCAAGGCGGTTTGTCATTCTTACCCTTTAAAATTGAGCACGTCATGTGGGTCCGGTAAATTCCAACCAAAATCCACTCAAAAAAATGAAAATTGACTAAAGGTGATCATTTAAAAATTGAGCACGTCATAAGGTGTGCATGCCCGAATTTGCCACACATTGGGCTCCTCGACCCGTTTGCACCTATTTGAGAATATTATTATAGGGGTTGGTTAGTGCAATTCAATCTTCGAGGGGGCAAGATGAGAAAAGAAGAGTGTACTTTTCGAGGGGTTTATTGAAATTAAGCGTTATTATAATTCCAATAGTGTTTGGATAGTACAAATATCTCAAATAATATTTCGCTTGCATCATAAACACATTTTCCAACTCATATTTTTATATTCTCAATTACCTTTTTATCTCGCATATATCATATCACACAAAAAGTGCTACCGTAATTATTCTAAATAATATTTCAAATAATACTCTATCCCGGCAGCAAGAAGCAATTAAACATCACCATGTACGATAAGATGTCCCTTAACTAAAATCTGGAGTATGATTTTATACTGACCAATGCTGTAATATAGCAACTTAAAAGCTCTCTTCTCTGTTTGAATTGTTTCTGTAGTAGCAGTAATAGTAATCTTAGGGAAAAAGGAAAAAAAAAAAAAAATCACCCCACCCCAGCACAATAACAAGACAATAGATTTCCTTCATAAGCTATTGATGATCACGATTCATGACTTTGCGAGAGAGTAAACTCGAGGATTTGTAAATTCTGACGCTTGAGAGTATCTGTGGCTGAATCGCTTCACATACGTAGTTTACGAAGACTATACAACCGAACATCATCAATCACAGGACCGCATAATGTTCCAGTATTGTCACTCCTCATATGATAGTTACTGCTCAAAAACCTGACTCTTGTGCGCCTTGAAACTGCTCTAAATCGATGGGTGGCTCGGATGAACTGCCCCTTACCAGAGGACTGGTAGGGCACCTGAAGCGTGACCTTCCCAGCAGACGCCTCTATTAGCATAGATCCTTCACACCCATTCTTGGCATCGCCTACTGAGAAAACTAGATCGTACCACCAGCCTGGGATGGTCTTCACTATCTGGGCAATAGCGCTTTCCCTTCCTGCTATGAGTTCTACAGCTCGTTTTCCCTCTGGGACGCTGAAATGTTCTGAATCTACGTACTTTACGGCTTTGAGGGATTCGATTATCCAGCCGGGCAACGGGGAATGGTCGTCCTCGATGTTGGGAGGAATTAGAGCTCCCCATGTTGTGTTGGGGAAGATATATGGACCTTCTTCAAAATTTCCATTCTTCAACAGATTTCCTGCATTGCATCAATGAACCAAGATATGTGGGTTCATATTGAAAAGCAGGAGGCACATTGATAGAATAACATGGATTGAATACAGAATTTGAATTAGCAAAGGAATGGATGAGCTAGAATCTAGTAAGAAACTTCTTGTTGTGATCCAGTCATCATGGTTCTAATGATTTTCCTTCTAATGATTTGTGAGAAAGGCCGCAAGCGGCAGTTTGGTTGAAAGACAAACAAAAGTACTCAGTGAGTTCGACTCAGTAAAAGCTTGCTCGAGTTTAGTTCGCCGACTAATTAAATTAAACTCAAACAAGTATTTTGGAATCAATTAAACAAATCAAATTTAAATATAATTTCAAACTCGATAAAATTATTAAACAAGTTTGAACAATAAAGTGTTAGATTTGATTAGACACGTTTATCGTGTCCCCCCTTAAACGTGCATATGCCATAGAATTTATTGCTCTTTTTGTGGAGATATTAGGAAGTAACATCGATCCTGAGAAATGGGCCTTCAGAATTTATGGACTTCTTTAACGGATTGAGGGTCCGAACAATTACTGAGGTTCACCTGTTGCTACTAATGGATGTGATTCACTTCACACTTTTTTTTTAAGTTTTATGGTAAATAAGATGTCAATATAAATTAATTCACTTCAAATTTCTAAACTACATAGATAATTAGCCCCCAATAGTCACCTAAACCCACATTAGCAGATAGAGACATTGATTAGGTAATAGGAAAATCCCTGGTCCAATTATAATTTATAAACCCTCCCTAGTCATCTACCAAACTAAACAATTGGACCAGATGCAAGAGAGAGAGAGAGAGAGAGAGAGAGAGAGAGAGAGAGTGTGTGTGTGTGTGTGTGTGTGGTGGAGAGAAATGACCTCTTGTTTTTAGAGGCCTACGCAAAGCCTTGAGGGCAACAGAATCGATAAGAGGGCCACAAGTAGCGTCTTTTTCCCTTCCTGGGTTATGGATGGAAATCTCAATCACGTCGGAGTCAGCTAGGAATCCCCAGGAATAAGAGTCCCATCCATCGCTGCTGTACATGGTTTGCATCGGAAGCATTCCCCAGTCGTTGGGCTCCTTGTTGGGCGAAACCGATAGGTTCAATACTTCATCTTGTGCACAAGTTCGAGCAGCACTGAACGAGAGCGAGTAAAACAAATCCTTTTCAACCTTAACTTTGGTCTTAATTGAAGCTTCATCCCCCAGCCTCACCGCGTACCTGCCTTCGGGGACTACTAGGAGCATGTCTCCTTGCTTCTGACCGGATTCTATGTACTCAACGAAACCCCGGATTTCCCAATGTGGTATTGAGTGGGGATCTATCACTCTACTACCCTTCATCTGCCATGGTTTCGGGCCGTTCTCAAAGTTGCCATTGGGCAGAAGTCCTGAAAATTCAAGTAACACCATAAGCAGAACACTTCCCATCAAAATTTTACCAAAAATTAAGTTTCACGTTGTACAGAATAATAGTACTTTACAATGTTAGATTCATGATAAACAATTCCTTGAAAACACTGATCATTTGCGGTGAAGTCATGATCAAGAAATGGTTTCGGAAAGCTTACCGTCTACTAATACTGACAAAGCAAGATGGAAGCTTGCGCAAAGTAGCACTAACAGTAGGCTTACTGTCTTCATCTTTAATGTATGTGTGTGTGTGAGAGAGAGAGAGAGGTTTGGATCAAAATCTGGGAGGCTGCAAGGGGGTATATGCATTTTAGCTTTCAAGAATGAACGTACTTATAGAGTGAAAGACAAGTTTTTCCACCATTCAAAATTTTTGAAGGTTAAGGTATCACCTGCACCATCCAAGAATCCAAATAAAAGCAACCCACATGTGCAGTTAGGCTTGAAGAAGAGATAGATGATAACATGCAAATTTGTAAACCTGACAAACGACACTGTCTCTTAAAAAATTTTATATTCTTTTTACTTTTTCATTTCGGTGGTCATCTGAGATTCCTGGCTTGGTTATATTTAATTTTCCTGGCTTTGTTTTCTTTTCTATATGAGTGAATGAGAATAATTTCCACAACACAAGGGATCCGAAGGAATATTTTACTACAACTATTAATCAAACGGGTTGCACCATCATCCGGTCTGTGCAAAATTGATTAAACGTATCATGGGGTGGGTTGAACAGAATCCATTATTTTAGAAAGGCATTCTATTCCCAAGAAGCTGTCATCCCATCGGTCAGAGAGCAACTTAATCATACCATTGATTAACCAATTTTAATTCACGGTGCATTTTTACTTATAAATGTCATATTTGCATTTACTTCAAGTGCTTAATCCCCTTTGATTCATCAGGAGATTAAGTACAACGCACTACCTAGCCTTCAGACTTATAAATTATACCGCTCCCCATTAATCATTCCTCATAAAACTCTACCTTTGAGCTCTCATTTTCTGATAGCATTCATGTAAAGCCCTTTCCTTTCACCTATTTCAACCCGAACCTGCAATCTCACAATTCTGAAAAAAGAAACATTTTGCTCAGTGAATAGGAGAATACCATGCAATCTTTTCTCGCCTGCCATTGATCATGACATAAGACAATTGAAATGTATACATAAACCTCAAATTTGTCTAAGTCCCTGCAGGCACATGGATCTGGTACAATAGACAGTTAATGTATGTATGGGTTGAGCTTCTGGGAAGGCAACTGAATTGCAGTCCAAGAACACAAGACCTTGGACTTCATGACCAAAATATGCTGCGTGGAATCTTGAGATATGTATGGTTAATTAGGCGTACCATTAATTTAGCGATTGCGTGAGGGTATGTGCCAATGTGTCAGCAGAAGAAGAAGAAGACCATAATTTTCAATTTAGAGTTGGGAAATGGGGACATTCAAGATCTGATACGGGGCAGACCATGTGCACCTAAAGCTTTTGAGTGAGAACTGAATATTGTCTTAATTTCGTGTCTCAATTAGCATCCTAATTAGCCCTTTTACTACTACTATTTTTTTTTCTTCTTCTCTCACCTCCACCCTTTTGCACTTTTTTGGTCGGCAATAATTCTCTAATTTTTTGCCAAAAGGCATGTGCAACAATAAGTGAATCGACAAGGAATGAGGTGGCGGTTGAGCTATATATTACTCCATCTAAATGGTGCAAGCAAGCAATCAATTGAATTGGTTGTACTTGTATGCTTCCAAGTTTTGTTTTAGCAATCGAGGATTCTCTGCATCCGCTGCCCATATCA